CTCCCCCCCTCGCATATAAGCCCTTGCACTCAAAGGAGGAGGTACCCACTAGGCACCTGATCAGGTCGCTAGTGGGTACCTCCTCCTTTGAGTGCAAGGGCTTATATGCGAGGGGGGGGAGACGACTCTCAGTCGATGTGGGACGTAGCTCCTGCGGGCACTGATAGGTAAAGGCTATTGGGGGGTCGTCCGCGTGGGTTAACCCAGGTCAAGCCGAAATCCTTAGTAGAGGGTTCTACCCCTTACAGGTTCCATGACAGAGAGAGGGAGCCGAGTAGGAGGGTTGTGCTGATGGTTCCATGGCAGATGGGCGAGAGAGAGGGATTGAGAGAGAGGAACATCTAATGAGCGCCTGAGTTAGGCCGGGCTTGGGTGACGTGTAGGATTTTGGTTTTGTGTAGGGTGTATTGTAGATCTTTGGTTTAAGTTAGAAGATTTTTGATAAAATTTGGGCCATTGAATGAAAAATAGATTCATTCTGAACCGTTTTTGCGTTTTCCAATTGGATTAAAATTGAATTAAAGTTTGAAGTGAAAAAAAGTTTAAATTGGACTCTATCTTATTAATATAAATGTGTGATAAAATCTAAATTTTTTAATATGCCAAAAAAATATTTTTAATTCATGAATTATATGAGTCAAATCAAACGCGACACAATACTTGACACGATTTATTCTTGGGTTGTCTAATTATTATTTAGATGTTTAATATGATTAATTAAACTGGTTGGTTATGATTGACAAATACTTGACACGAACGTGATATGACACGACCCAATATAATTCGAGTCACATGTCCTAAGATTTGGTCATGGTTTATGAAAGGGGAAACTTGGAGTAGAAGTGAAATTTGAGTAAGTCAATTTAATATCCAACTCAGCTCAACCCAAAAAAAATAAATATATTGAGCAAAGTTTGGATAAAAAATTATCAATTCAATTTAAATTCAAACAATACTCAATTTATGTCTCTACTTTTTAGGATCCAACCCAAATAAATGAATTTTGAATCAACCCAATTTATATCAAATTTACGTTCTAGTTGCGTAACTTGAGATTCAAACTTTAATTAAATTATATTTCAACTTGAATTTTTATCTATGTTATCTACCTCAAAATCAAAACCTCAATTGAAGTCGATTTTGATTCAAATTCCACTCCTTACTTGCATATCATCCAATTTAAAATTTTAACCATGAATAACTCTCATATTGAAAATTTTGAATTAAACCCATGTTGAGAGTTTTAAAAATTTTGATTTAACTTGAGTTGACTTTAATTGTCTTACACCACTATATTAGCTAGGCTGTGACATGAATATTGATATTTAAATTAAATAAATTGGTGATTTTACTATTTGGATTTATTAAGGGTATTTCAAAATCTTGTTTACAAACTTAATTAACAGTTTAGTTTGGTCTAGAAATAACGAGAGTGCTAAGGTTTTTTTTTTGTAGGTTAGGGGTGATTTGAGAAATAACATATCGATAGGACATAAATTGAAATTTGTCAAACAATATAAAGTAATCCACAATGCAATGTAATTTTACTTTTAGTGACATAATTAATTTAGTTACTAAAAATATGGAAGTTTTAGTGGCGACTTAACCATTACTAAAAATATAAAAGTTTTAGTAACAACACCAATGTTGTCACTAAACTATGAAAGTTCTAGTGACGACATCAAAGTCACCACTAAAACTATTAGTGTTTTAGTGACGATATCAAAGTTATCACCAAAATTTTAAAAATTTTCAGAGACTATTAATCTCGTTACTAAAAGTAATTGTTTATTATTTTGAGTGACGAACAAAAAATTCAACACTATTTATCCAATTTCTCACACTTTTAGTGACGAAGTGATGATAATTATTCATCACTAAAAGTTAATTTTTTATGATAAATAGTATTGCCGTCACTCGTTCTGGATCATTATTGACAAATTCACATGTCATAGCTAAAAAGGTATCATTAATGACAAAAATAACTTGGGTCACTAAAAAATTTGTCCCTAAAGTCCATAATTGTTGTAGTGAAAGTTGCATTTACATATCTCTTGCAAAGTAATAGTTAAATACATCTTTACTTTTTCGCCGAAATCTCACTCTCTCTTGCTTGAAAGGTACTTCGAAAAACATGTTATCAAATGGTTTGTTGGCTTTTATTACCGATGAATTCTGAGAGTTATTTGTATCTTTATGAAAAAATGTTAAATAAATGAAAATTGAACACTGATGGTGTAAATTAATGTGAACAAACATAAGGTTAAAATTATTCCTTGCAAGTTGGGTATGAGCTTCTAGGCTCGTGAGGATCGCGACAAAGAATTTCAGGAATTGGGGTGATTTATACAGTGAAAATATAATGGTTCACCAGTTCGGGAGTTCGACTAATCCACTATTCAATGAATATTCTTACTCCTTCTATTTCAATAATGAGGGGTGAAATTTACAATTTGCCTCATCTGCAATTAGAGGCATTATGCAGTATTTATAGAACTGTTTCTTGTTCCCGGGGAATCTGCACCGAGATCATTACCATTTATCCGAAGAATCCTCCTTAATCTTAGGAGAGAATTTTGGCTGGTTGATAAATCTATGCCTTGTTTGTAGCTTGGTCATTTGTTTGGGGAGTGTTCTCTATTATCCAGCTAGCCTTTCCTTATGATTGTTTTTTGCTGGTGCGAGGTCGGGGCTCTTTAGATCTGAGAGTTTTATCTGACCTCCTTGTCTGACCTCTACGTTTGAGCACATACTTGAAATTTATTTGAGATATTATCAAACACTAAATAGAGCTAATGTTTTCTATCACGTGATAGACCCAAATGTCATTTTCCACATAAAAAGGATAAAACTATTAAAACATAGTGATACCGACATTTCAGAACAAAAGTTTGGCATCGACATCATATATGGTTAGGCACACCTAGCTACCAGTTGCTTGACACATACATCTTTTTGTCTAAGTTAGGCACGTCAATAACAACCGATGACCAAGCAATTTAATCCATGGCGGTAATTTGACGGTTTGTCTCAATTCAAACCATCTATAACTAAAGTGGTTTACTGGCAAGATAGCATCTCGTAAGGGACCTTTCGGTAATGTTCATGCAGGTTCAATTCACAAGGTATAAACTGTTGACTTGCTTTTAACAGTTTGGTGGGACTGAGATCGAACTATAATTCTAGTTGTCTTTGGGGAATGCATGTAGAGCTCACCGTCTGGGCCTCTCTGGAGGACTATTCCAACGAGTTCGAACTATTATAGTCATGTTTATACATGTGTTCCATGCCAGTTGCCCCTTGCCACCTCTTTTTGGCTAATAAGCAAAAAAATAAATAAATCCATAAACAAATAAAACAACAACAAAAACCACCATTGTTACATCCACAAGCATAAAGAAAATCAAAGACAATAAATGGGTCATCAGAGTGACTTGAGACTATTTTTTTCAAATAAATAAATAATTATTATTGAGCACGACAAAATTCCATTCACGGTGGGAAAAGTTCCTATTTTATTGGAACAAATACAGCTAAGAATGCAATTGTGCATCAAACTCAACATTGCAAAAGTCTGACTTCATTAATATTGGATACCTTCCACACACCCCAACCCCAAACATGAAGAAAATTGATCCCAAGGCAAAAGGGGATTATAACTATTATGCGATTACTGGGAGGATGAAAAGTTGAAAGAATAAATAAAATATCATATTTGGTAAGGAAGGAAAGTATGAATGACGGAAAAATTTATGAATTAACTTTTTTTTCAACTCACCAAAATCAATTCCTCCAAAATCAGAAGAAAAGTAGATGGAAAGTTAATTATTTGTGTTGATATGTATTGTATTTGTCTATATATCTTATGTATACATTAATTTCATATAAAAATACAATGGTAAAATATGTATATATATTTTAAAAAATTTTAAAATTTAATTTTAAATGAAAAATAAAAAATAAAAATTTTAAATTTAAAAAAAAATATTTTTTCCATCTTAACTAAGAGTGAAAATTTTTTAGTCAACACGATAACACGACTCGAACTCGATACGAAAATAAATAGATCAACTCACAACTCGATACGACACAATTAATTAAATGAGTTAAGTTAGATTTTACTAATATTCGAGACAAATTCGTAATGATTCAACACGAATTTGACACGACATGACTCGACTCTATTGTCACCTCTAAATTTAGCTAGTACAAAAAAAAAATATCATTTTTATTTTTCATCCATCCAACCAAATACAAAGGAAGAAAATGTATTCCTCCTACTTTTCATCCTCCCTACCAAACGGAACATAAGATTAATATTCTTTAAACATAATAATTTAACTAAATTTATATATCTATTCTGAGTGGCCCATAATATTAAAAGCTATTTGTCAATCAAATAATGAATTTAATCAAAAAATCATACAATATCAGTATCAATATGTGTAAGTATCATTATTGAAAACTACCTTTTAGGTAACTCACAATACACTTTTGATACATTGAGAGTATAATATTAAAAATTTAATAGTTGAGATTATAAAATAAGAATCTTAAAATTTTTTAAAATATAAAATGCAAAAAATCCTAATTATTTAGACATACAATCGGAAAGCAGCGGGTGAAGAGTAAAGATCGGAGATCTGAACCACTGTCTGACCGCGTGAACCGCTCCTTCTAAGCTGGTCTAACACAAGACAAGACAAGACGTGCGGTTTAAAAATCCGATAGAATAATCCTGTCGTCATATTCTCTGTCCCTCTCCTGTCTATTTGTGTATCTGATATCTAACTCACTCGGACCCTCTTGAAACACACACAGCACGCACGCACGCACTCGTTCCGTCTCATTCCTCACCACCTTTCAATGTAAGCTCTCTCTCTCTCTCTCTCTCTCTCTCTATCTCTGTGTTCATATGGATGTGTGAGTGCTTACCCTGTCTTGTATGTGGTCTCTGATTTGGAGTGTGCTAGTTTACTCCGCAGTGGAGATAAGAAGAGATGGTTGTGTTCAAGGTTGGTCGTGTTGAAACGACACCGTTCGATGGCCAGAAACCTGGGACTTCTGGTCTGAGGAAGAAGGTAATTTCTAGATTTGGCAATATAGTTGTTTAAGTGGTACCATTTGATCTAGAACATTTGCTTGAACCTTTGATCTTGATTACAGTAACTCAATTTGATATGTTCTTTCAAAACATGATTGCATATATATATTTGTAAAATTTGAACTGGTGCGTTTCTTTTCCGTATGAAATTTGCATATTTATTTCAGTGTACGAGCAATTCTTTTCCATTTGATCGATGTTTATTCGAATTAGCTGGTTAATTTTGAAATTTGAACTTTGATTTTGCTGTGTATGAGCAATTATTCTCAGTGTTCAGATGATCTTATGAATATATAGCACTTAATTAGATCCTGTTTATATTTCGCAAATGAGTGCTGGGAATTTTATAAGATCATTGAGCTCGATAATTTAAAGGATAAGAATTTCATCGTATGATTCTTTATGTTGATTTGTAATTTTTAAAGAGTGAGCTGGAGTAGAATCCAACTTAATGCAGATGATGAATTAGATCATTCTGATGTGAACTCACTTGCAATAGATGTAATCACGTAAATATATTTCTATTAGTCCACACAAAAAACAGTATCTTTTGTGTTAGTATGACATCTAACTTATGTTACATGGACCTGAGTATGATTGTCAGGTGAAGGTATTGATCTATGCATGAGATTCATATTGTCTCCAATGTCCAAATCTCATAATTTGTATTATTTCCAGGGCAAATAATATTTGATGTACCACAGTGATAAAAATGGGCATTTTCCTCATTTTATATCAATTTTGCCACAACACCAACTATCACAATAATAAATTGTCATTACCGGTTTGGTTCATGTTAACGGTGGATGCTGGGAGGGGAGTATTGTTGACACAAGTTTGTGGTTTTGCGTATGAAGTCAAACTGGTGCCTATAATGTTAGGTGTATGGCCTGCAGCTAATCTGCCCATCCCCGGAATATATTCAAGGAATATAATTTATGATAAACTAGATTGTTGTAGATTTTTGATTGGCACATTTGCTGGGAAGTGTTGCACAAATATAACATACCTTTACCCTGCCAGCAATTGTCTGACATCGGTAGGTGATGCATTTGAAGAGTGCATGTAACGTGAGATCCAATTATCTATTGTTAATGTTGTTTTCTTGATCGTGGGGGCTTCAATGATTTCTCTACTGCTTTGGACCCTTTTGTTCCTTGGTGATCTAATAATTCTCTTGTTTATGTGTGTGTGCACCAGTTGAAAGTAGTTTTATAATATGTATTTTTGTCTATTAAATTTGCATGCCGTAGTATTTAAAATATATGAATTGACAACCTTTGATTTGATTATATGAGTGAAAATAATTTATAGAAGTCATATATAGGCTTCTGATCACAAGGTTTTATCAGCATGGTATTGGGTGCTGTTACAGATGAAATGACTGTCAAGTTACCCACATGCCATATAGTTACATTTTTTGGTGATGACAGTTTTCTGTAATTAGCTGGAATATGTGCTTGTTGGTTGCTTTGGACAATCTGAATAGCTTTTATTATTTGATCTAATAAAATGGTGTCTGTGTATTTTTGCAGGTGAAAGTATTCAAGCAGCCTAATTACTTGCAAAATTTTGTTCAGTCAACATTCAATGCCCTTACAACAGAAAAAGTTAGAGGTAAGGGTTTTGTTATTTATTGTTTGGTTTTCTCGTACAATTTGAGATGAAAGTCTTGACTGGGGTATTGAAATTTTAACATGCAATAAATGAATTTCAAATGCTGTAGCAGTTTTGAAGTAGTTGAAATCCAAAATCTATATGGTTATCACAAAAATGTTTCAAAGATCTATATCTGTGCAAGCAATGTCTACTTTAATGTGGATTGTAGGCCACTGACTACATCATGTTTGCATCTTTCTCTTATTTTGAATTGTATGGAACAAGATTTCTTTCTCAAAATTCATTAGATGTGTTATTGAGAAAAAAACCATGGAACAATGCATTTGTTAAATCGCGGAAAGAAGTTGGACTCCATTACAAGGACAATTTTGGGGTTATTTAAAAAATATGGTTATCATCAACTATCTCATTGTCTGTAAACAACCTCCTAGGAGTGAGGATGTCCATCTGTTCTATATGAAGAAATTGTTATTATTCCAGTAAAAACGATATTCAAGAGCATTTATTTTTAAAATTATGATCTACTCATTCAGTCGAAGAGGATCGGGATCTTATTATTAAGACACAACTAAGAAAACGAAGTTGTTCTTTTCATATTGTCTGTGATTAAAGCATGGATATGGTATGTAGAAAGTTAAATTTACTTAGGGGATGGACCTTGGTGTAGCATTAGGATTGCTCTACTTGACCTATGCATCAATGCCCCATTCGTGGAAATGAACCCTCCGCATGCGAGAACATTTCCACCATATGCAAGAATAAGATTGCATGCACTTGATTCTCTCCAAACCTCTCACTGACGTTAGTCTCGTGCATTGAGTTGTCATTTTCTTAGTTATGAGGTTAGGAGTGCTTTATGACGCACAACAATGCACACGTATAGTTAGACAGAAGATGCCAAGTTGTATGAAGCTGAAATGACTTTTATGCAATTGATAGGAAGATAGAGAGAGAGAGAGATAAAGGACATTTGGTTCAATTTCAAGATGGGGCTCACTTGAGAGTTCTCAAATTTAAGTTTTAGATTGCATTGAGGTACTTTTTTTAATATCTTTTCGAGCTAATATGTTAGATTTTTCATTTAATTTATGTTACATGATGCAAGAGCAAGCTGATATAATTAAAAAAACTTCCTACACTTAATGTTTCGACATTTTAGTTTTACATGTACCAGTATCATTTATGGTAGTGGTTTAGTGATGTGACACTCGCATGGGAGCCGACATTAGTCTCTACTTTTAGTAATTTACTTGTAATAAGGTACTTATGACGTACATCTGAATTAGAATATTTCTATTGTTTGGACTTAATTTGACCTGGATATTTGGTTTTACTTTCTTTTGTATGTGACTTATGACATCTTTGTAATATGAGGGAAGTGAAGCGAGCATTGCAAGAGCTATCTATTCCATTGGGGAGATGGCAAGGGAAACGCACCCAAACTCATAGGCAATGACGTTTCCGAGCTACCACATTCACGCATGCTGCGGGGGATCATATGCAGTTACCCAGTCTACCTGTTCAAGCGAGCACTTGCAAGCAGCTAGAACGTACATTGTACAAGATGTCGCTCACCTCCTCGTATGCTCTTCCCTATAGCCCTATAGCCCTCACGTAGAAGGGAGAGCTATGAGTTCGTTCTCTCATTCCCATTAGAATAAAAAAGAAAGAACGTTTTGAGTGCACCAAGATTTGCTTAAACTAGCACCCTACAAGTTCTTTTGCGTACACTAGGTATTGTCTAAACCAACACCCTACCAGTGTTTTTCCTTTATTTCTCTCTAAGAACTATAAATTTAAGACCTTGTTCTCTTGTCTTCCTTACTGCATAATCATATTGGGTTTTATGAGTTTAGGGATGTTAGTGCTTGAGTTCCTTTTGTCTATGTATAGAAATGATTTATGTGTCTTAGCATGTTGCATTGTCCAAAGGAGTATGTTTGCTAACCATTGCTCTCTCTCTCCCCCCCCTCTTTCCTTCCAATCATGCTTTCTCGCCTTTGGTGCCCATGAGTCAGAGCACTTATTGAGATCATGATGTTCCCGACATTAAGCGTTGCCTTTCTTTCCACTATGTTTCTTGTTGGAGATCATTGTCTTCTAATATATCTCTTTCGTGGCAAAACAATGCTCGCTTTTTATCTGGCTATTCGCTTTTGGATGGTTCAACCCTATTGAATGAATTAACAAGTTTGGTTATTTATAAGGAATACAATTAACTGTCAAATTTTGTTAGTCCTATCGTAGATATAAGAGAGATTTGGGTATGACGTATTACGCTGTAGTGTTTGGAAGATATCTTATTGATTAGATAGAGATTGGGATATAACAACTTTCACAAACTTAAATATAGAGTTTAGTCTAGCTTTGGCCAAGAACGCAATGTTGGAATTTGTATAGCAGTCTGACGGTGAAGAAGTTTTCTAGCCTTTTGTATATGCATTCAAAATTTATTGTGTGTAGTCACAAAAGCTTTGTTTAATACTTATCCTCTCACTTGAAGAATGCAATTGCTAATGTAGGAATGAGATCGAAAAAAGCTAAGAATTTGCTTTACCCCTATAAGTACAAGGCCAATATTAATATGATGGACACAGTTTTTTTGGGATGACAGTCTGTATTTTTGTCATCTACATATGTTGTGTGAAGAGAGTTTCTGTGCCACATTGAAAAATTAAGGCCAAGTAAGGTTGGTTTATGTGGTTGATACTTGATAGTTCTTTCACCATTGCCAATTGGTTGTGTTTGATGTTCTAACATGGGATCAGAGTTGGATGATTGAGGGGCTAGTTTTTCACCCATTTGAATTTTCAGTTTGTTGGTCTCTTTGCTTTAGTTTTGTTTGTCAGCCTGCATGTGAGCTTGGGTTACATGTGAGAGAATGGGTGGGGAGCGCTTGAATCCCACATTAAAGATTAGAACCACCCAATATTGGGTTATGCGGATGCAGAGTCTCTTCATCCATTCCAAGAAATAGTCAATTCAACAAAATTTGTCCCTTTTTTTTAACTTCGGCTTGAGGGAGGGCTTTAAGCTTGTATGCCTTCATCTATTGATGGATAAATTTTAGTAAGTTTTGATGTGTTTTTTTTTTCTTTTTTTTAATTTTCCCTTAACCTAGTTCTCTCTTTGTCTTGCTTCATGTCCTAAATGGTTGTGGTTTTTTATTGATATTTTCTTTTTATGGGTTATGTTTATTTTTCGTTAACTACATGTTCTTTCTGCAGGTGCTACACTTGTTGTTTCTGGTGATGGCCGATACTTTTCAAAGGATGCTATCCAGGTATATTGTTATGGCAAATTATATCCAAGGCTTATCCTTGCGCTATTTGTTAATTTAGGAAGGATTCTGGTTGTCATTAATCATTTTATGAAGAAAGCAAATTTTGTCTATGTAGGTTAACTTTCATTTTACCTTTAAGGGTTTGCAAGCCTCATTGAATAGAGCAATAGCCTAGTGTTGGCATACAATTCACAGTTTAACTTCGAAGTAATCTGATGTGATGTTTCAATATTCGGCTTATGTGTTGGGTTTTGCAAAAAAATTTATTCTTCAAAATTTCTAAATCCATCCAATTATGTAGAATGTGAAGGAAATCAAAATACATTTGTTATGTAGTATGGAATGTATTCAACTCAACTGGACAAGGTTTTATCCCAACTATTTAGGGATGGACCACATGCATCATGTTCCTCCATTGTGTGTTCAATTGGAAGCAGTCATATTTATTTTTACTTGTATCGCTCTTTCTCACTGGTGTAGTAATAAGTCTTCTATAAACATGCCCAAACTATCTGGGTTGATTCTTTGCTAATTTATCTCCAATTGGTTCAATGTATACGGTTTTATGAATATACTCTGATTCTATCTTTTCTAGTTTTACAACGCAGCCATTTTCACTTTCTCTTTTCAACCACACCTAGTTTTGAACATGCTTTTTTAGTTGCCCTTGCCCAATTTTTTTTATGATAAAGTATTGTTAGTGCAATGCTTGTCTTGTAGGGTTGCTTTTTCGCCTTAATAGGTATATCTCGATCACACAATACACTAGATGCATTCCTTTTTTCATTTATCATATTTTAATTCTATGAGTAACATTGTCTCCAATCTTCCCCTCTTGGATAATTGACTCTATTTATCGAAAGTGTTCGCCCTTTGGTATCTATTGATATTCGATCTTTACCTCCTCCCAAATTGACCCTAAAAGTATTCTAGGTGCTTTTAATGTTGCAAACAACCTCTCTGCATGGGGATTTTTTTTTTCCGCGCGCCCCCCCGGGTGGGGTGGGGGGGGGGGGGTGAGACTGCATATATCTAACCTTCGCTAGATCTGTGGAGGGATTCTCGTGCACTAAACCACCTTTTCAATGCTACAATCTTTAAAGAAAGGAAAGAATGCTAAAGATCCTAAATTGCTTCACTAATTATTCTCAAAAAATTATGGATATTGTTTCCTTAAATCCACTGAATACCATGTTATATGCAAATGTGGAGCATGTTTTATGTACATGCATCTTAAGTTGCAACAAAAATGTGATCCAGATTGACACACTGAATGGGTACATGCGATCTTCTGTTACTGATAAGTGCTAACAATATGCACCATCAGTTTTCCCTTAAAAGTCTGTGGTATGGTCATGTATTCCAAATGTCAGAGTAATCAGCTTTTCTAATCTTCTCCCTCTCTCTGAATTGTCATGCCCATTCTTTTTAATTTTCCACTGAATGTGGATGATCCTCTGTTTAGTGGCTGACTGCGTTAGGCTCAAGTCCAGTTTGATTGACCTAAGTTCTCCTTTTGATGGGTCCAGATATGGCTGGTACGACCTCAACTTGAAGATTGGTTGATGAGTTGAGGCATCAAGAGACCAGGCCAATCAGTTTGATGAAACAGCCACATTTAGTGTGCCATGTATATTTAGAAATGTAAATTTACACTCTTGCGAGATCAGAATAATATATCTAAGGGGGTTAATAAAGCTATGCTTTTATTTCTGTGGAGAACATTTCCCATTCATCTGATACAATAGACACCCAATCTAGGTCTAATGTTATACCTAGGGACAACCCAAGAGCTCCGGTACAGCAAGCTTACCTCATGTTGTGCATGAATTATGGGTTGAATGTCCTGCTTGGAGGTTTGGGCTGGATCAAGTCCACTTGTGTTGTGTAACATAACTGAGTTGCCTTGATGGAGCATGTTAAACAAACATCTACTCTAAACACTTAAGCTGTTGAAGAGGGTGTAATTTAAGTATTTATACTTCAATAGAGTGGTTCTTGTTTTTAAATTTCTGAATGGTGACAAAGTTACACCTTTATTACTGATCATGTGATGTAATCTACTTGCTGCTCTGTGGGCAGATCATAATTAAAATGGCTGCTGCAAATGGAGTAAGGCGTGTTTGGGTTGGTCAAAATGGATTGCTGTCCACCCCTGCTGTATCAGCAGTCATACGTGAAAGAATTGGGCACGATGTAAGTTCACGCTTTCAACTGGCAACATTTAGCTGTGCTTGGAGCATTTTTTTTTTTTTTCGTTTCTTATGGTCATGGATGATGGTCGCTTTCAAATTTCATCATAGGGTTCTAAGGCAACTGGAGCATTTATATTGACTGCGAGTCACAATCCAGGTGGTCCCCATGAGGTGGGTATCAGCTATATCTGGCTATTTCTTAGTGTCTATACCCATCAAATTGTCTAGATTGGCAATCCGTGCTATGTTTTTCACGTTTCTGTTACCGGGATGAAATTGGTCATATCTTATTTTTACTTTTTAAAGCGTGATGTCATTGTCAATGAAATCAAGCACCTTCTTTGATTCTGTCATGGTTCTGGAGTTGTCTTTTCTTTTCAATGATCTTGAGGCCTCGTTACCTGGAAATATTCTGAACCCATGTTTAGATGCAAGCTGGAGGACCAAGCATTTGATATTTACTTCTCCTGGACTTGATAATGAGTTTCTCCGTGTAATTGTACACTGCCGTTTTTGTTACTCCAACCTCGATCATTTCCATAAAATAAGCATCCCCCACATTCCTTGGTGGAGTTATCTGATTGCCAG